TGTGTGTGTGTGTGTGTGTGTGTGTGTATAAAGTTTGACAATTCAATATTTTAATGGCTATGGGCCGATTCTGGCTTTCTTGAGTCAATTTTGGTAACCTGTTTTTTATTCTGGGAAATTGTCTTTTTGGTGTAGGTTTTAAACTTTATTATCATCAGTTCTTAATTTTCTGATATAGTTTTAGAATCTCTACTGACTCTGTAGTTACTTCCCTTTTCATTCCTGATACTTTTTGTCATCTCCCTTCTTTTTGAATTTTTTAGAAGTTTGTAAGTTGTATTAATTTTCTCAAAATCAGCTTTTTTGGGGGTTGAACCTTCATATTTTATACTCCATGTTTCTTAATTTCTCATTTTAAGAATTTCTTTATCTCCCATATTGCATTCTGGGTTTCCTTAGGTATATTTTATAATTCATTGTTTTTTTTTCTTTTGTACCAAATCTATTGTTTAACTTACTTTTTTCTTTTTTAATAGAACTTGTAGGAATGAGGAGTTATTATGTTTTTATTTATTTTTGCAGCACTGGGAATTGAACCTGGGGTGCTTTGCCAATGAGCTCTATTCTCAACCTTTTTATTTTTTATTTTGAGGTAGGGTCTCTTCAAGTTGATGGTGATCCTTCTGCCTTAGCCTTCCAAATAGCTGAGATTACAGATGTGTGCCATTGCACCCAACCTTTCCTTTTTTTCTTTAGAATTCTTTTCTTTCATTATGAATTCCACCCCTTTTATCCTTGTCATAATTTTTTTTTTTTCAGTGCTGGGAATTAAACATAGGACCTTGTATATGCTAAGCAGACACTCTACTACTAAGTTATGTCCCCAGCCCACTATAATAATTTTAAATGTTATTTTTAGTTTTCTTTTGATTGTCCTAGTTATGTGATATACTGATTCTTCTTATTATTATATCTTCTGATTTTCCCTCATGTTGAACTCTTTTCTCACATGGTTTGTAATTTTTATTGTGAATTTTGTGAATTTATTTCCTATGGGAATTATTTTCTGTGAGAGTCTCCTTCCTCACTTGTTGAGTGCCTTCACAATTGCTTCTCCCAGGGGTTTTTCAGTAGTTTAAGACTAAAGTTTTGTATTAATTTCCTGACTTGGCATGTTTTGGATTCTATGTTTATATGTCCTGAAGTTTCAATTTGTCATAAGATCTTCTCTGTCTGTCTAGATCCTAGAGTGAGCCCCATACTCATTTGCTACTTCCATGACCTACTGGTTTTTTTTTTTTTTTTTTTTTGTGGAGTTAGTGTTCTTAAGAGCCCCAGATACATGAAAGGGTCCCAGTTCTAATTACCAAATTAATCAAGACTTAAGGCCACATTTCTATCCCTAAATTAACATTAAACTCCAATTTCCTGGGACCTATATCCAAATCAGATACCAATGTTGGCTTCTCAGTTCTATATTTATTACTAGGGCTTCTGGGTTTCTGTTTCTTGCACCTGAGAATTTTTCTTTCTGGTTGAGTTTGAAAAAAAGTTTTTTGTTGTTGTATTATATATTAGTCCCATTTTTATCTTTGTTGGCAGGGAAATGTCATCTATTTCCTTCAGTTTAGCTAAGCATGTTGCTTGAAGTTTTGCATGTTTCTTTCAAAGAAATTTCTGGAGCTAGGGATGTAATTCATAGTAGAGTGCTTATTTAGCATGTGCATATTATTAATTAAAATTTAGCAGTCTTTCCAATAACACATTTTAGTATTCATGTAGAAATATTATCAATTAAAAAATTGCCAATCCAAAATCTGCCAGATAAATTAGTCTGTCATTCTTAAATTTGGCCTTCCATAGAGCTTTAGGGCATGGATGGACACATGCATCCAAGTTTTTTTGTATCTGTGTAACAATAGTGGCCTTTACTACCATTTCCATTTGGATCATCATTTCTATCTGATTCTAGGCTTTGTTTTTTCTTTTAAAGCCTGTTTCTTGCCTATTACCAAGTTAAAAAAAAAATCAGTTATGCAATGACCCTAACTCTCAGTGTCAATTTTCTGTTATTAGTCTGTTTCTATTACTATAATGAAATACCTGAGGCTGGGTGTCTCATACCAGCTCAGGGATCCCATGAGAACTAACTTAATGCCTTCTAAGGAAAGTTGCTCCAGTGATGTAACCCTCTTCCACTAGGCCCCATCTCTGAAAAGTTCAACCACCTCTCAGTATCACCACACTGGGGACCAAATTTCCAACTCTTGAACTTTCCAGGGACAATATACATCCAGATCATAGTACCCCTGATATTTCCCTGTCTATTTCTGGAAAATGTTCCCTTTTATTTGAATTAAAGATTCAACTTGTCAAATTCATAAGGAGCCTTATTGGGATTGTATTGGATTCATATATTAATTAGAGATAATTGGCATCTTTATAGATTTGAATCTTTTAGGGACAATTGTTTTTCCTTTTTCAGTAAAGCTTTGTAAAGATTTTACACGGTTTATACTCATTCCTGTGTATTTTATCTTTTAAATTGTTATTGGGGATGGGATTCTTTTTCCTGTTCGCTGTCCTAATAGTTTATTGTTAATTATTAATCTGTTTCAACATGGACAAGTCCAAAATAAACCATTTATTTTTATTTTGGACTTGTCCATGTTGAAACAGATTCTCCTCCTTTATTTTCTTCTATTGGGTTCCCCGCTACCTTGGGTTATCACTTCTTGTGAGTTTAGAATCTTCTACAAAACCAGAGCTTTCACATTTTTCTTCTTCATACTCTTATTAAATATTAAACAAGGTCTACTCTATTCTTAGGTTTCATAATGTTTATATTTCTCCATCTAACTAAAACCAAATTCATTTCTATTCCAGTCTAATATTAATTTCCTGGAACTACAGTGATTATATGTCTTCATCTAGAGAAATCCTTCAGTATTTCAGTCCATTGTTCTATATCTAAGTGAACTCCTTAATCTTAGCCAATGGTGCCCTTCGCCCTTCAATTTTGTGTTCATTCTTTTCCCTCCTATCTCCCTGCTTTCCTCCTTCTCTTCCTCCTGCCCCCGCTTTTTTTTTCTTCTTCTTCTTTTTGTCCTAAGTAGCCTTGGCCCTGAGCAGGGACTAACTTCTGAATTCTGCTCATCCCCAGCCAGGACATCACAGGTGATATTTATTATTTCAACTTTGCCAATGGGCAGTCCATGTGGGACCATCCATGTGATGAGCACTATCGGAACTTGGTGATCCAAGAGCGAGGGAAGCTGTCAACTTCTGGGGCCATTAAGAAGAAAGACAAGAAAAAGAAAAAGGAAAAGAAAGAAAAGAAGGACAAAGAGACCTCCCAAAGTCCCCTGGTGAGTCAGTGGGTGCCAGCTTCTAGAGAGGCCAGGGTTGAACTGAGGGGATAGGGGGAGCCTGTAGTTGTCTTCAGCCAAGAGGTGAAAAACAACAATAACAATACATTCTTGATGCTACATCTTCTAATTTTCTTTCAGCTTCTAGCAGTCATTACTATTTTTAAACAATTCTTTCTCTTTCCATGGGAACCTGGGTTACATAATGAGACTGATGAGAGTGCCTGCTCTGCCATATATCGTTGACGTTTTTCGGTAGTCTAAGAGGTGATGGCATCTGCCGCTTTGGAAAGTGGGGATGGGGGACAATTGATAGAAGCCAGTGGGCCTAGACAAGTGAGTGCTTTCTCTTCATGCAGAGTCAAGCTTTTCTAGTGTGGGCTCATCATTTGTCTTCAAGTGGTGTGAGTTAAGTTATCAGAATACCAGTACCTTCAAGATTCAGAAGCAAATCTTTGTGCTTTTTTGCATTTATGGCTTGCTTTTTTTCTTGGTGTCTTTGCTTAGTGGTGGGTAACAAATTTAATTGCAGTGTGATCACCATGGTCTTGAGTAGCTTTTGTGCTGAGTTCAAAGTGCTCTTATCCATTGTTGTTTTATTTGTCTCTGCAGCGTGTCTGAACTTATGAGGCAGAAGTTATTACCCTTGTTTTATAGGGAGAGGAATGGAATTGGAGCTTTACAGGAGTGAGACCTGAGCCCTCCCTGTCTGCTATTGGTGCTGCCACTGGGCCTTCTTCCTTTACCCATGCCTGGAACCTGTGGGCGCATTGAGGAAGGAAGGCTCATGGAAACTCAGTTCAGCCAAATGAGGAGAATATTTTTCCAACCTTCTCTGTGTTCCAGTTGTTTTGCCCTATTGTTTATAGTTTTTATTTCCTGCCAAAGTCTGGTGCTTACTTCTCCATGAAGATTTTCATCTTTTTTTTTTTTTTTTATGCATGCTAGGCAAGGACTCTACCACTGAGTCACACTCCCAGCCTGTTTTCTTTCCTATGGTGTCAATTCTGGTGCTGTACAGTTGTTGATTAACTTAGCTTCTTTATCATGTTCAAGCTTTGTTGATTACCCCCTCTCCCACATATCACTCGTGGTTCTGAGAAACTAGATAACAAGTTCATTTCTCTAGATAGAAGAGGACAGTTAATTTCCAAATAGGTTGAATTTTAAAATCATATGTTTGAGAGGCAAAAGGTAGGTTTTTACTTTCGTGAAATTATTTGAAATGATAATCAGGCATCCTGCAGGTGCTGACATGACTGAAGGTGGTACAGGGAATATAGTGTGGGTTCTGGGGAAGAGGCTTGGTGACAGACTGAGTCCTGGGTGTGTGTCTGAATTCCTGGAGCTCTCTGTTAAAAAGACCTCCTACTGTGATTTCAAGAAATGAGGATGACTGGACAGCCATGAACCATCAGTCTGATTCTTAGGGCTCAGGACAGGTACCTCAAGCTTGTCTAGGGGACAGACTTGGTGGGCAACCCAGACTTAGGTGGCTTGGGCCCTCTGGATGTGTGCACTCTTAGCTGGGTGTGTTTAGTGTGAATGTTAGCAGAGAGTGGTTATTTTTCAGTGTTTTTTTCTATGACTTTCTGAGTATCTCACTGGACTGAGTTTCCAGGGTTCAGGGCACTGGTTGTTTCTCCTCTTCTTTTCCACTTAGGCAATTTCTAGAAGTCTTTGGCAGATTTTATAAAATTAACCAATCACAGAACTTGAGAGCTAGATTGCATCTTGGAGATAACCTGGCTGGTGATTTTCAGAGTTTTGTTAATAGTAAAGCCTTGTTTTCAAACCAGTTCTCTATAGAGGTTCAGCTTATCAAAAAAGAAATGAAGCTGCTCTGGTTGAATTTGGGAATGTAGGTCTGGGTGATGCCTTTTCTTCGTCACATGCATACTTTATAGAGCTCTGCCTGTGCTGAGTCCCTCAGGTTCCATGGATTATGGTTTGCAGGAAGACATTGATTTAGTCCAGCCTGCTCTGTGTAAAGAAGAAAACTGGAGCCCAGAAAACAACATTTTCAGCCCAAAGGAGTTTTTAGCTTTTCTTCCCTCTTTTGATTTCTGCTTTACTTTAAATGGAGGGTGGTTTTGTGCTAAGTGCTTAGCAAGGGCTAAAGTAGCAAGTATAAATCAGAAGTGCTTTGTCTTAGTTTTCTCTGCATGTTTATATATCCATTTAGGAAATACAGCCTGATCAGGGACTTCTACCTTCTTCCTCCTTTCTTCGTGGCCCATCCCCTCTCCCAGCACCTGGGCTTGCTGATTTGGACCTAGACCAAGAGATGCAGGCTAGAAGTGAGGGCTCCTTTAAGAAAGGGAAGAGCCCATACATGCTGGGTGACACCCCTCGGCCTCTCATGGGTGCCTTCCCCAGCAAACTGCAGCCACTCTCCAAAAATCAAGCTTCCCGAACCCACCAGATCTTTGCCGATGTGGAGAAAATCTTAGGCAGGGCTCCAGCGCAATGCAGGACAGAATTAGCTCATCAACAGGGTCTGGAGACACCCCAGAAGGCAACAGAGAAAATCTACCTGGGGTTTTCAGACCCTGAAATAGAAGAGCTGGAAATGAGGACCAGACAGCAGAAACCTGGTGCCCTGTGCCCTCAGAACACTGGACTCTGGAATGAGCAGGATGTGTTAGAAAGCAGGAGCCAGACCCCTGTCCACTCTAAGCTTTCTGAAGCCATCAAGGACTCACAGCTAAAAGGGGAGCAGCACAGCCACAGCATAACCACACTGAGCTCCACTGGCCCTGCAGGGGACAAGGGTCAGAGCCCCATTCCCTTACTATCCCCTGAGGAAGAATCCTCCCTGTCCCAGTGTTCTTCTGACCATATGCTGCCTATGAAAAATAATAATCTCTTTTTATTAGATAACAGCCCAGCTAAAGACCTGAACTGGCAGGGAATTCCTGGGGAAGGTGGGAGCCTGGGCAGGGGGAGGCGAAAGAGAGAGTCCCCAGGACTGTGGATGGGACAAGTCTCCAAGCTTGTCAACAAGGATACCCCAGGGAGCTGCAAGGAGACAGAGACTGGTATCCCTGAGGCTCGAGGGTCCTTAGCCAAAACTCCACTGCAGGGACTCTTCATAATACCACCGGATACTGGGACATCAGAAGCAGCCCAGAACGCCCTTATTGGGGCTCCTACCAGTGAGAAGAGATACCCTACAGGGTCTCCAGAGCCCCCCAGTGAAGATAGGAAGGCGAGTGTATCTGGGGCTGATGTGGAGAGCATCAGTGGCTGCAGCAGCAACCTGGCCTTGCATCTTGGCTCTCAGATCCTGGGTGAGGTAAACAACTTCCCTTGGGACCTACAGAGCTCCCGTGGATCTATGCCAGGTATGGGTCAGGGAGGCCCTGGGCTCAGAGATCAACATGCCTGCCCATACATGGTGCCCCAGTTGTCCCACATGCAGAGCTCTGCTGAAGAGCAGTCAGAGAGTGACGACTACTCTGAGGATCAGAGGTTCTACCAGCACATCCTTCAGATGGTCAAGATCTCTAGGCGGCTGGAAGGCCTGGGGCTGCCTGAAAGCATGCAGGAAATGCCAAGCAAAGACATCGCCAGCATGGTCTGTTGCATGGCTGCTGAGTCTTCCAGGATGTCTAGTGAGGGTGAGCAAGAGGCCATCAGAACCATGGAGAGGGACTCAAGGTTTCTGGTTTGGGGGCCAGAGCTGCTGGAACATCCTCAGGAGTTAGCCCTTGGTCCAGCTGAGCAGGAGGCCCCTCAGCAAGCCCATTGCCAGCCAAACAGCAGCCCCTTCAGGCAGGGGATAGTCGAGCTGAATCCCAGCAGAGGGCCTGCTGCAGAGCCAGGCAAGATGCAACTTCTCAACCAGGTAGGCTACTTAGAATGGCCTGAGGCCTGAGGCCTCTGTGAACTTATCAGGGAGGGAGCAGGTGGAGTCGTCGCCTTACCATATCCCTCAGGTCTGCTTTCCTGTCCCTCACTCCCCTTGGTAATTCTTGGTCCCTTAATTACCCAGATGGCTGTTTTTTGGCATCACATGCATTTCACTTTTCTTTTTTTTTTTTTAAATATATTTTAGTTGTTGATGGGCCTTTATTTTATTTATAAGCGGTGCTGAGATTCACACATGCCAGGCAAGCACTCTACCACTGAGCCACGATCCCAGCCCCTCACTTTTCTTTTATGCAGCGTCTCACGCATGCTAGGTAAGTGCTCTATCACTGAGCCACAACCCCAGCCCTCACATTTCTTTAACCCTAACACTCACTTGCAGAATAGGACTAAGGGAATATGTGACTTCCCTTCCCTGGATATAGCTGTAATTCTTGATTGTTAACATGCTATGAAGGTAGTATGTTCTGGGGTGGGCAAGGTGGTACTGATCCTGACTCTGCACAGGATGTAGGACCTCCTGTGATTTGGGAAGCCTTTCTTATCAGCTGATTCTAGAGAGGGATGCTCCCCAGTAGGCACCTCACCTCAGAGCTCTGAACTTGTGCCTTCTTGGCAGCATACAGAGCTGGAGAGTTAATATTCTCATGAAGAACTCAAGCCCATGATCTCCTTCTACAATATGGTGAGCTGCTTCTGCTCCTTGTCTCCCAGAGTGCCCAGAATACTACTTGACTAACCTGTGTTAGGCTTGTGCAGATCCTGTTTATGACGTTACTTTCTTACCTAAGGAATTACCAAAGGACTGGGCTTGCCCTCTCTTTCTGACCCTTTGTCCCTTTAAAGAGTCATCATATTTTTCATAAAGAGGTCCAATTGGATCAGAGACCGTGGGTTTCAATCTGAATTTCCTTGGCTATTTTGCTGTGGCCCAGATGTGGCTTTACCCAGTTGTTCCCTTTGGTTCCTAATTGCTGGCATGCACTGGTTCTCTGTTAGCTCTAATAACTACTACAGCACTATAAATATCGGATAGGCTGCAGATTATCCTGAAAGTTTTAATTAGCCCGATGGCAATGAGTTTATCTGCTCTGAAGGACAATGCCATGCATGGCTCCATACTCCAGAGTTAATGGCTATCTATAGAAGATGATCAGCGAGGAGCCAGGAATGTATAATTTCCCTGCTAACCACTGATTTAGTAAAGGCCTGGGAGAACAAAGCCCTCAGCATGCCCGTCTCCCTCCCTCGAGCCCCCAGCACGTTAGCAAATTAACCATGTTAGGAGTCTGTAATTTTCCATAAATACAGTGTGGGAAGAATTTCACTTGCTGATATGCTGGAGCTGGTTGAGGGACTAATGGCAGGAGGAGTAGACCCCGTTTGCTCATAATTCACTCAGAGAAGCTTTCCTGGGCCTCTTTTCTGCCAGAGTCAAAGGTGGTACAAAATACTGTCTTAAAGATAACACTGGGTTCTAGTCCCATCTCTGCTCCTCTCTGGCCCTGTGACTTTGGGCAGGGTTCTTGGCCTCACCAACCTCTGTTTGCTGACATGGGGTCAATGGCAGAAGCCTCCTCAGATTGTGTGTAAATAAAATGAAACTTTGCATTTAAGGTGTTTAGCCAATACCTGGTGCTCCAGCATTGTTGGCTAATTCTATGATGATCAGCTTCTTTTTTCTCTAACCAAGATCTTCTACAGCAGATCATATGATGGGGGAGCTACAGAGGCTTAGGAGTGATTCTCACCTCATTTCGTGCTGAGTATCTGATAACCTTCCCTGTGCAGAAATAGGCCCTGCTAGGACCTATAGGGTAGCCTGGCCCCTGTGCTGAGGCTGTTGCCAAAAAGATGGTAGATCTGAACTTCCTCAGCCTGCCCATCTCTGGGTTCTCTTTTTTCTTTCAGTCCCTGTGGGATTGGAAAGGAATGGAATTTCTGCTTTGTTTCATACACTTTAAGTTTGAGAAGTGACTCTTGAAGAGCTCTTTATAAATTGTATCCTGGTTTCTGCTTTTGCTAAGCCCAGTTGATCATATGTGAATCCCTGTAATAATAGCAATTCCCTAAAGTTCGTATAGCCCTAGACCACTCACAAAAGCTCCTTGTATTCATTATCTCATTCAAGCTGCTCAACAAATGTTCTCAGAGGCACAGCATGTACCCTCTTAATCTTGCAGATGCATAAGCTAGGAATCTATGAGTAGCCATAGGGCTCACACATTCTTGCTCCAGCCTAGTTTACTTTCCTCAGTCCTTGCTGGCATGAACCTTTGTGAGAACAGGGAAAAGAAGGGACCTGGTCAGGCCACTGCTGCCCCTTGTCAAGGCTCCATCCAGCCACCTTCTTCATCAGTGGAGTGGGGAAAGAGTTCAACTTTTGTTGCTCATACTTAGTGTTTATTTTAATTAAAATAATACATGCCTTTAGTAAAAGATCAAGTCAAATAGAATAAAAGATATAATAAAGTACAGCAGTTTTCCCGTGTGCAGAGCCCGCTCTCAGAGGCAATCACTTTTTTCCTGTTGTCTACCTCCATCTTTGTCAATAATATGCTGAGATTGCTTTTTCTTAACTCATCAATTTCAAAGTTTATCTGTTGAGACTTCTCCTTCTGGTAGATGAGGGTTTTGTCTCTGTGCTCCCTTCCCACGTACTTCCTATACGGCTTCTGAAAGGAGAGCAGAACCCCATGCAGCATCTGCCAGATGTAAGAGGACTGTTTATGTGAGATGGCATTCGAGTTATGAGAATCAGGAAACCAGCCTGTGATTTCTCACACAGTTGGCACAATGGTAATTTCTGGATGTTGTGTTTCATTAGCAGCCTCCAAGCGGAGGCAGTTTAAATTTGAGCGGGCAGGATTTAGATGTTTTATTTTTGTATCTGTCTCCGACACTTGCAGAGCCACGTGGTTTCTTGGGTTTGTAATAAGATGTTTTCTGTTGCCCAGGCTCTGGGTTCTTCTTTAGCCCCAGTCCACATTCCTCTTGGGGGCTTGGCTCCTTTGCGAGGCCTCATGGATCCCCCGCCCTTTGCTCTTCGAGGACCTCAAAGCGCGAGCCTGGGGAGCTCAGCGGAGTCCGGTCAGCTTGGAGAACTCCCCCTGGTGAGTACTTTCCCTGACTTGCAGAATGTTTAGTTCCTGTGGAAGCTGTGGCCTGTCGATGGCCTGTCGATGGCCTGTCGTAATCTGGTAGGAAGATGAGTCATGCCTGTATGAAGCTGCACATGGCCTTTGGGACCATCAGTGCTAATTTCTCAATTCATGTAGCCAGTGCGGTAGGATCTGGAAAAGGGAATCAGTAGTGTGAGTTAGATCAGCTTCATGGATATGGTAGGACTTGATTTGGAGACATCTAAATAGATAGCGGGGTGGGCATTTCAGGGTCATTCTGAAGGTCTTCCTGGTGAGTTTCTTGATGTTCTTTCTCTATTTTGGAGCCTCCACAGGGTCTGAAGACTTCTGTATATACAAAGGGCCTCTTGGGCTCCATCCATGAGGACAGGAATGCTCTCAGCCTCTTGGGCTTAGGGGAGGAGACCAATGAGGAGGATGAAGAGGAAAGTGACAACCAGGTATGATCAAGCCCTCTCCCTGGCCTTGAAACCCTCTGTGCTATTCTCCCCCTTTCCCCCTTATTAGTGCTCTACCACTGAGCTACATTCCCAGGGTCTTTTTTTCAAAATTATGTTTTCAGGCAGTGTCTTGCTAAATTACTCAGGCTGGCCTCCAATTTGTGATTCTTCTGCCTTAGCCTCCGAAATGGTTGAGATCACAAGCCTCTGCTGCATACCTTGCTTGAAAATCCTTTTTATTGTGGTAAACTATATTTGACATAAAATTTTGCCTTTTTAACCATTTTAAGATTACGATTCAGTGGTGTTAAATACCTTCACAATGTTGGGCAATCATTGATACAATCTTTTCCAGAACTTGTTCATAATCCCAAATAGAAGCTCCATATCCATTAAACAATAACTCCAATTCCCCTCTCTGTAGCCCCTGGTAACCTCTAATCTTTTTTCTGTCTGAATTTGCCTGTTCTAGATATTTTGTAAGTGGAATTATAGAATATTTTTCCTTTCATGTCTGGCATCTTTCACTTGGTTTGTTTTGAAGATTCATGTAGCATATATTAGAACTTTATTCCTTTTGAAGGTTGAATAATAATCTATCATATATTTATATCATGTTTTGTTTATCCACTCATCTGTTGATGGATACATGGGTTGTTTCCACATTTGGCTAATCTCTGAGCTATGGTTTTGTTTTTGACATGGGATGTCACTAAGTTACCCAGGCTGGTCTTGGACTCTGGGCTTAAGTGATCCTCCTGATTCAGCCTCTTGAGTAGCTGGGACTATAGGCTTGTGTTGCCATGTCCAGATAATTCTGTATTATTTTAAAAATAAATAAAAATGAATTTCCAGTCTACAGCTTTGTTTTTTGTCCAGCCTATAATCCTCTGATCTGATCTGGAAAGCACAACAACAAGGAGCTTCTTGGCCATTTGCGTGGTGCAGAGCTTTGCTTACATTGGATAAAGAGCTGCTTAGTGAGGCCTCCTTGGAGGTCTTGCTCTTGAGTCCCCTGAAGTCCTGCCTGGGCACTGTTTACCTGCTCAGCAGTATCCCACTTCTCCCTCTGTATTCCCTGTACTCTCAACTGACCAGTTACTTTAGACTTACCACCTATAATCATTTTTGTTTTCAGAGTATCCGCAGCTCCAGTGAGCTTCTTAAGAACCTGCACCTGGACCTTGGGACCCTGGGGGGAGACTTTGAATATGAGGTAAGAGCCTAAAGCCCCTACCAGCAAATGCCTCAGTCCGATATGCCCCTTCTTCCTTCTGAAGCCCTTCTGTTTATGAGGTAAATGTTTGGAAAGAACCAGTTTTTTCACAGGCCTGTCCAGGGTTTCTGGGGTCTGGGGAAGGATGAGGGGAACAGAGAATCCATTCATTTACTCATGCACAAAACAACCATTTGTCGAATGTTCCTGCATGAGGTGCTTCACTAGCCACTATATGTCACATGCACATAAATGAGATGTGTGTACTCTCCTCACAGATTGTGCAGTCTCATAGACTGTAAGGGGAAGAAATTACTTTCCTGCACATCAAAAAGCCTTGGTGGATGAGATGACATTTGAGCTGGGTCTTGAAGAGTAGCTGAGTTTTGGATGTGGAGGACATTAGGGAATAATCTAGGCAATTGAACAGCTTGAGCAAAGGTTCTAGGGCTGAAAAATACAGAGTGTGGATGGGAAGAGAACCCTCCCAAATTCTAATCCTTTTCTCTGCAGTCTGTCCCCTGCTGCCACGGGAATGTTCTTTATAAAGAACAAACAAATAGCAAAACTCCACTATGTTGTTATAATACCTAAAAACCTCAGTGTAGATTTGTTCTGGGAATATAATATTCCACACTATGTGTTCTTTGTCTAGTGTCTGATTTATTAATTTTTAAATAATTAGTATTTAAATACTCTCAAAGTATTTTTACAACCAATGAATTATGAAGTCCACAAGTTAGACTTGCCCAAACATTTAAATATGGGCTACAGACTCAGCTCAATCAGTTATAATTTTCACAAGTCTTGTATATTAGATTCTTTTAAATATCTTTTTTTTTTTTTTAAGAAAAAGGAAAAAAGAAGGTTTATTGTTTTGCTAGCAAAGAAGAAACATAGGCGGCCCCTGTCCTGAAGGCTGTGATTCTCTTAAATATCTTAAATCCCTTAAAATCAAACAAGCTACACTCTATTAGAATGATCATAAAACCAATCAGTAAAACTATAGTCCTTCTAACAAAGATTTAAATTTCTTTCTCTGTTATCCCTTATTGTTTCTAAGTCTTCCCCTGACTTTGAGAGCCAGTGTACTGTCTCAAGCCAATGGAGGTTTCAGATGCTGGTGCAGGCCCCGATTTGGTGTCTAAGATCCAAGATGTGGGTGGACCTTTCAAAGTGACCCAATTCTACCTATTGGCAGGACCCTTTTCCTCATTAGGTTTTGTCTTTTATCTCAGAAATTGCCCAGCTTTTTGATTCTGTATTATTGGATAGGTTTTGATTGTGACTTTAATGAACTCTTTCTGTCAAATATGGTACCTCTGAGTGTCTTGTTGATTCCTCAGCCTGATACATGTCTACTTTGAAATTGTTCTTTCCATCTGCTTGTTTCCTTGATATGGCAACTATGTGTTCTTCTTGTTCACCATTAAGACCTGTGCTGATTAATGGAATCCGAGGAGATGCTCAGTTTTTTGTGCAGGAGAATGACTGTGGATAGCAATAGGGGTTTTAAGAAGAATGTGCTTTTGGAGAAAAAGGATAGTTTCCTAGAGACTGAGCAAGTTGAGGGTGGAGAGTCTAGCCTATTCCTATGTGTTCAGCACCTGGCCCACTGCCTGGAACATAGGAAGCACTTGGGTATATTTTGTTCAACATTTGAGAGAATGAATACATGAATGAATGAATGAGCCACACTAGTCCAGGGCTGGGACAGATATTTTTTTCTTTCCTTGACTTTCCCAGGTTCTGAGTGGAAGAGATCATTGGTCCTTGCCATCAACTAGTAGAATGAAGATCTCAATGTGGACTGATCATGATTCATTTTGACTTGGACTACTTAACTTTTACTTCATAATAGATTACAAATGTCAGTCAAAAAAAGACATTTTCTTCTTGGACATATCCTGGATTTCTTAGAGCTTGCCTTCTGTTGAATATGTGCCTTTTAGGGGGAATGGGGAATTTTAAACATTTTTAATAACCTCTTTAATATAAATAGACACTGCAGTATAATAGGGGAAATGTGTGGAGTGGGCAGTGTTCCACATTCCTCCCATCCTTGCCTCTAACATGGCAACAGATTCAGGCCTTTTTGCCACATGGTGTGTGGGATTCCTATGTTCTAACCTTAGGCAGGAATTAGGGCTTTTTCTGTTGGGAAAATTAGCCATGAGGATAAATGGGGTTTTGGGACAGGCAGAGCTGTTTCTTCCTGGGCCTTGCCCTTTGTCCTTTGAAAATAACTCTTGTCTCAGTTACAGTTCTTGGCTCTTTGGAGCTGTCCACCTTTCCCTGCTCCTGGGCATCTCAGGCAGCCCTGGATGGAACTTTCCTTTCTGTCTTAGTTCCCTATCTCACTGAGCAGTCACTTTGCTCATGATTCCATGAGAGGGCAGTAGGATGGCAAGAATGCAGCTTTCTCTCTGTCTCCTTCTCCCTGTTCTTCTGCTTTCCAACTTAAGCCTATTTCTAGTCTATTACAGTCTCAAAAGGGAAAGGTTTGTGGAACCGGCACTGAGAACGGGTATGAGCAAGAGCAAGGAGGCAGAAGGGTGGGTGAGCAGGCAGTATGTGGCCATGTGGCCATGTGGTGCTGGTGAAAAGCCCATCAGCGGATCAAAGGAGCGGGAGGGAGTCTGGGCTTAGAAATAACAGGATGATGTCAGTGTGATTGGAAAGTGCTAACTATATCAGGGTGCTTTGCAAAGAATTCACTTGAGTGGGCATGAGACCTGGAAAATAAACTGGACTGATGGTTGGCTTGGCAGGGGTCTCCCCAGAACTGGGCCAATGCATGCATGTGGTGTGGAGCACCCCCCCTGCCTTATGATCTTGTGCTATGTGGATCACAGGAGCCCCTGAATTTGTGCTCTGGGCAGGAAGAAGGGGACTGCAGCATTGGAGATCTCATGGCTTTGAGGGGGGTGTTAAATATTCATGGAATGTTTCTTATAGCACCCCCCTCCTCTACATCCCATTCTTCATGCAGATGTCAAGATCTTGAAATGTGCTTTAAGATACTCAAGGAACTGGTGCTGTGGCAGGAGGAGACAAAGGAGTATGAGCACAGATGGGCTCAGGGCAAAGCTGTGTGCTCTGAGAGCCCAGGGGAGGAAACTGCCCAGGTGCCTAGAGTTGGAGGGTTCAGGCTTTGGCCCTGGTGTCATGCCAAGGAGTAGGAATTTGGTGAAAGGAAAAATGGAGTCCGATGTGATACTCAACTCTCGTTCATCCATTTTTAGATAATCTGCAACTAATGTTTAATGTGTTGCTTTCCCCAACCTCATGGTGCACCTCTGTCTTGTAGTTAGTCCACAAGGGTGCAGAGAATACAAGATCATTTATTTTAATATTTTAAAATTTAATCTTTAGATAGGCAGACTAAGATCAGCCCCATCAAGTGAAAAAATGTTTTTTTTTTCAGAGGTGGTGGTGCTCAGGATTAAACCCAGGGCCTCTTGCTTGCTAAGTACATACTGTACCACTGAGCAGTACCCCAAGCTGAACATCTTCTTTTGAACAACTTAAGCTTGAGAGGTGGCTAGACTGGGTAAAATATTCTTATATAGTCTGGCTGTATTCTCTAATAAAGATAAGGATGGGAATCTCTACCTGTACCTGATATCCGTATCTGATATCCCCTGATTGATTGATTGATTTGGTGCTGACAATTGAACTCAAGGCCTTGTGTATGCCTGGCAAGTGCTCTGTTACTGAGCTATGTCCCCGACTACCAGTTGAAAGGTTACTTATTTTTTCATCATTTGGACAGTTTATTAATAGTTAACATTTGTTTAGTGATTTTGCTTTTTATAAGCATTTTAACAAATATAGTCTAATCCCTATATGACCTTGACAAATAAATGTAACATCTCTATTTGGCAGAGTCAGAAGAGAAGCCTAACTCCTTCATCTGTATAACATATTCATTCATAAAAACAAAAAATTTAAATCAATAGCATTTCCTAAGCATTCATCGTATACCAGAAGCTAGGTACTGAGGAAAATAGGGAGCTAATCTGGTGAAGGAAACAGAAGGAAATCAGCAATTATGATAGCTATTATGGCAGAAGATAGAGAAAACTCATGTCAGCTTCCCTAGGGAACAAGGAAGGCTTCCTGGAAGAGTTGATGACTGTGAGAACCAGTGTGAATTTGTCACACTGGGAGGGGTAAGAAAGAGAGGGTGGAGGAGAAGACAGAGAGAATGAGTGGTAGGGAGGGAGAGAGGGAAAGAAAGAGAGAGAGAATGGTTGTATTAAAAATCTGCAGGGCAGGGCTGGGAATGTAAGGCCCTAGGTCTGATCCTCAGGAGAAAAAAATGCCCAGCAAAATAGAGACATAGTAAGATGTATATCCATAGTCAGGATAGCTGTGTGGCTGGAGATGAACCATGAGAAGCAGGTGGGAAGGGCTGTGGGCCAAGGAAGGAGGTGTGAACTCCATCTTGGAGGTGAGAGGCTGCTTCTGGTATCTGACACCTCCTCTAACTCCTAATCCAAGGTCTATTGCTAGGCAATCCTCTTGGGGCTAGGTTTCACTCCCAACTTTGAGCAGGAGAACCTTCCTTAATTCTGGACTGAGCCTGACTAGGGTGGATTGGCCCCACTTACTGAGCAAGTGGCTGACTAGACACCCTTTGTCCATCCTAAGGCACTTTCTCCTTAGAGTCTGTGGAGCCCCACAGGCCAGTTATGGAGCTCCTCTGAGTGCTGGCTGCTGCTGGGGATATGTAGATAAGGCCTGGCCTTAGCCTGAAACCATGGCAGATTTATTCCTTGTAAATTGGGGAGCTGGGAGGGGTGGTTCTGGGTGGTGCCTGCCTTCTCAACTTCACCCTCTGCTTTTCTTCTGGGGACAGGCTTGAGGCTTGTGACAGTGTCACTCTGGTGTCCAGCTTTTCTTTGCTTTGGGAAGTATAGGCTCGTAACTAGGTCCACCTTAGATATTTTGCTTTTCTCAGTGTGAGCTCAGCTCCTTGAGGGCAGGCAGGTCTATGTCTTAGTCATATTTGGTTTCTCAAGACAGTGTTTGGCACATAGAGGGTGCTCAGTGAATGATCATGTGGGTCTCTTCATATAAAATTAGTTAACATATAAGAGATACTGACAATATGGCAGGCATGGTTCTAAGTTCTTTAATGCACTTCATAAGTGCTAACTAATTTAATCTTTCTGGCAACCCTAGGAGAAAGGTACTTGTGGACTGCATCCTTGTGTTTTAGAGGAAACTGAAGCACAGTTTGCCTAAGAAGAACCACATCTGCAAGCTTGGAGCCATAATTTGAGCCTAGGCAATCTTTCTTGAAAGTTGTACTGTGAACTGCTCTATTTTTCTGCTTTCATTCATCATCCTTGGAGAGCATGCTTAGCTAGTCAGTAGGCTGCCAGACCTGATGCAATGGTCATATTTTTGAGCTTATCAGATATTTTATGAGACCATCAATAAAACTTGTACCTTTTGATTATCTACTTGAGTGAATTAGCTTTCTAGCACTGTAACAAAATACCGGAAATAATTAATTTATAAAAGAAAAGTTTTTTTGGCTCACAGTTTTGGAGGGTTCAGTCCATGATCAGTTGGGTCTATTGTTTTGGGCCTGTGGTGAGGCAGCACATCATGGTGAGAGAGCATGTTGAAGCAAAACTGCTTATATCAAGAGCCAGACAATAAAGAGAGGAAGGGATCAGGGTATACTCCCCAAAGCCTACAGACTTCCCACTATGCCCTACCACCTAAAGATTCTACCACATTCCAGTCGTTTACCCTGGGCACCAAGCCTCCACCAATGGGCCTTTGCAGGGACATTCCAGGTCCCAAATAGAAACTGTGGACTTTGCTCCTTTTATTTCACATGATTGTTTATTATTGTCTTAAATGAATCTTGGCTTCTAAGTCTGCAGTCGTAAGATATGGCTAACCAGGGTGGAGAGAGACAGATTTATTACTGGAAAACATCCAGATCCAAGCACTGGTTGTCATGCTTTTTGTTTGAATCTTCAGGATAAGGAAGTCTTAAAACTCCCTGCTCAGGAGTTGTTTAGCCAGGCAGCCCAAGTGTTAGCCCAGATGTATTCTGGGAGGAAAGCTCCTCAGCATGAGCCCAGGAAGGTCATTGGCTATATTTCCAAGGTAGGGTTTTTTGTTTGTTTGTTTGTTTCTATTTTGGTCAAACCTAAAGAATTTAAGTTGTAGCAGCCATAGGTTTTCACTAGTCTTTAAAGTGAGGTTTGTGGTGAGAAAACAGGGTATGGCTGCTGTTGAGGTGTGCTGTTCTCCTTTCCAGAGACTCTGCCAAGGGGAGCTTAATAGATTGCCAGCTTCCAGATGCAGCCTCTTCCACCCATCCTGATTCATGCTAACCTGTACTTCCCCAAGCTGATGGGTTGTAACATGAGTCTGAGTGCAGGGACCTTTCTATCTAATGTGGGACTTCTCAATGGCAGCCTGCATGGGAACTCTCCTCTGGGCTGGCTGACTTTCTCAGAACCATGCTGTGCTTCCTTCCCTGTCTGCGTCATGTTCTGAAAGCCCTCCCCTTCTCCTTTATCTTTCATAAGCATTTCCCCTAAATCTCTTGCACATCTAATCCCATTTTGGCATCTGCTCCTGTGGGGACCAAATTTGACAACCCTGGATGGAGGATGCTGTCTACAGGTTGCCCATGATCAGCTTTTATAGGGGAGGCTTTGGAGAGGGCAGGCCCCCTTCATATATATATATATATATATATATATATTTTTTTTTTTTTTTTTTTTTTTTCCCCTGTTGCCTGTGAAAAATGAAGAATAGAAATTCTGGACTTTGTTCCCTTTTTCTCACATGATTGTCCATTATTATCTTAAATGAATCTTGGCTTCTAAGTCTGCAGTCTTAAGATTTGGCTAACGGGGGTGGAGTGAGAACATGATAGATGATGATAGACTTGTATAGTCCACATAAGTTATTTCCAGGCTCATCAGTAGATGGGGCCCAGTTGAGTGTGTCCAAATCACCATAGAAATTCTGATTCAGTAGACTGGGTATGGTGCCAGGAATCTATGTTTTAAAAAGTTGTTTAGGCCAGGCATAGTGGTGCATGCCTGTAATCCCAGCAGCTTGAGAGGTAGAGGCAGGAGGATCACAAGTTCAAAGCCAGCTTCAGCAACTTAGCAAGGCCCTAAGCAACTCAGTGAAACCCTGTCTCTAGATAAAATACAAAATAGGGCTGGGGATGTGGCTCAGTGGTCGAGTGCCTTCGAGTTCAATCCCCAGTACCACCTCTGCCCCCCTGCCCTCCCCCAAAAAAAAAAACCCAAGTTGTTTAGGTGTTGGATGGCTACTGGGATCAGAACTCAAGCTCTGGCTTGTGAAAGTCAAGGAATACCATCTCCATCTTGTAGCACATCTCTCAACTCCTTTTCTATATTTCTTATGTCTTTCTTTTTGACATGGTCTGTGCTCTCTAGGAGTCTCCAAGAACAAGTCATCCAGAGGAGAAGAAGGATGTTTCTCTTGATTCAGATGCTGCTGGCCCCCCTACTCCTGGCAAACTCTTCAGCCAAGGTGGAGATAGCAGTCTGAGCAGTTCTGGTGGCAAAGAGCCACAGGAAAGAGGGGCTAGTCCTTGGTTTCCAGAAAAAGAAGAGAATAAGAAGAGTGATCCTGGGGCTTCCACAAATCTGATGACACCTGGGGTGGACCATGGAGGTGATCAGCCTGCCAAGTCCTCTGAAAAGGAGCCACTGGAGGACCCAGTTGATGCAGGAGAGGATTCCAGGAAGGAAGAGGCAACAAATGAGCCAAAGAAAGAGACTTCTGTCCCAAAAGAAAACAGATCAGATGCCAGGGAAGTAAGTCCCGTAGGCAATTGCTGACTGCAGTCCTCGCTGTTCTCTCTAGCTCTGTGCAGCTTCCTATCCCCACATCTTTATTTCTGAGTCAGGAGCTTCATTTGCAGGTCCTGCTCTGGGCTGTCACCATCAGCCAGAACCCTTAATTGTGACAAATATGCCCAGACCCAGCAGGCAGTAAAATCCTGAATGAAACTGCAAACTTGGTGGCATTGGAAATCTAGAGCAGAAATGTGCTTTTCCATTGCACCCTCTTGGTATATTCATGTTCTTCTTTTCTCCTGTTTACTCTTTCCCTTTCCTGTCTCCCTCTTCTAGTCTTGGTTTGCTGCAATCAGAGTTCCTTTGTGGGGTGGAAAATGTGTGTGTGTGTGTGTGTGTGTGTGTGTGTGTGTGTATGTAGGGAAGGCAAAGGTTTCATCAGTGAAAGTGTGGGGTGGAAAGTGTGTGTGTGTGTGTGTGTGTGTGTGTGTGTGTGTGT